TGCTTTCCAGTCAACCTTGATCTCCAAAAATTTAAATTCAGTTTCCATCTTTATATTCTGTCTTCATAATTCCTGTTCTTCTATTGTTCTCTGTCCCTAATAAAGTTTTCTTTTACTCATATTCTTTCACACTCAATAACACGTTGCGCCTTAGTCGATTCATTACCTTACTTGGGGTGAAATGATTCGAAAAATATAGTAATGAAGACATCAACGCCTTTCAGAAGAAATTCGTACATTGTCACTGAATCATTACCATCATCATCATCCCCTTGTCTTTTGTAATTGTAGAGCGGATCCAAGGGCAGAAGCCACACTACCTCTTTTCCACAACGGTCTATCAACGGCAACCATCAGAAATTCTGGCACAGTCATACCTGTCAATTTTTTTGACATTGTCCAACTAGTTTTTGCGTTGGCGTTCTCTCCTACGTCCACCTTCAACTGTGCCTTGCATGATGGTCTTGCACAGGCTGTCGTGCCTTGCAATGTGTCCAAACCACACCATTTTTCTCCGTTCCGTTTGACAGTGGCGAGAAGAGATCCTAATGTCCCGCAAAATTTTCATCCCTTTTCCGCACAAACTCATTGGTTTTTTTTTTGTTGTTGTTCCCAGTAGAAAATGCCAAGGAGTTTTATTATGAATTTGTTCTCAAACGCTTGGATCCTTCTCTCAGTTTCTGCCAACAATGTCCACGCTTCACATCCATAGAGGAGACTAGAGACTACCAGCGATTTCTACTTTCTCCCTGAAATGCATTCATAAACAAAGCCAAGTTTAGTATTCACAAGCCATAGTAAGAGTAAGTGGCTAAAATAAGAATATTTTCTTATAATCTCCCAATCAACTGTGACTTTACAATCGTTCTAGTCAACTTTGATCTTCAAAGATTTAAATGCAATGTCAATCATTATCTTTTGTCTTACTGTTTTATAGTTCTCTCCCCTTAATATTGTTTTTCTCATATTCTCTAACACTCAGTAATTCTTTGCGTCTTAGTGGCTTTATTGTCTTGCTTAGGGGTAAAATGATAAAAAAGCATTAAGAACTTTTTTAAAAACCAGCATTAAAAATTTTAGTATTTAATTTAAGTGCGAACACCGATCACTCTTTCAGCAAACTTTCTCATTCGTTACGAAAATAATAGATTTCAGTGGTGCTAGAAATTCTCTCAGCTTTTTCTCATGTTTCAAAATCTACAGCTAAACTGGCTCTCAAGACAACTTTAACTCTCCTAAGTCACTAATCAAATTATAATTGAATTAAAATACACCGAATTCGGTACAAGGCGCTACTTATCTATCAAATTCATGATCAATCGATCTTTTATAGGAAGGTACTCAGCGTTGATAATCCCTTACCACCAATTCTTAGCAGATATATTTTCTAGAAAGCCAGGTATCAAATATCGTCGGCTAAACCTCCAAAACAATGTGTATGCGATCGATACTCAATAGTTACCAAATTCCAAAGATTTTATGTTCAAACGAATTTAGACAATATATATATATATATATATATATATATATATATATATATATATATATATATATATATATTATTTCATTATTCGGACTATTGTCCTCATCTTTGTTTATATATTTATCACAACGTTTCGGCCGTAGTTAGCTCCGGCCTTCTTCAGGTGGTTGGAATGTCGAACTGAAGCCTTTACTGGGATAGACTGTTCAATAAAAGGTTCGGTTCGACATTCCAACCACCTGAAGAAGGCCGGAGCGTACAACTGCCGAAACGTTGTGATGAATATGGCGACAAAGATGATGACAATAGTCCGAATAATGTAAATAATGTACATAATACCTCATCTCAGAAATATATATATATATATATATATATATATAAAGGGTCGAGCAGCGCAGATATTTGAAAATATTCACCTAGCATAAGAGTGTTTCGCAGAAATTAAATGATTTTCAGATAAAATTGACTCAGTGCAACAAGGGACTTTTGTGATATTTTTGGAGAACTCAGTAATATATTTCTTCTAATTAAATAGAAGAAAAATAAAGAAGGAAAAATAGAACCCGTGAATTCTGCTTAATATATATTTGATTCCTTGATCAGGATTTTGATATATATCTATTTGTTTGTCGGTAGATGAGCAATCGTTAGGGAGACAAAGTTTTTGTTTTTTTGGATGCATCGATAAAAGATAACAAAATATAGATAGATAGATAAAGTTGTCTTATATATAGAGGGAGGGGGCGAGATAAACAAAGAGGAAGTAGTTTAACATACATATACATAGACTAAACTACCTAGTTAGCTAGCTAGATTGATTGATAGATATATAGTGTTCTCGGATATATATATATATATATATATATATATATATATATATATATATATAGATAGATAGATAGATAGAGAGAGAGAGAGGAGAGAGACAAAGAGAGATAGAGAAACAAGTCGTTTGGCATATACATATTGTTGAGGGTTTCTCCCCTTTTTGCACTAATGGACTCACCCAGTATATACATATACTACGGCTACGTGAAGACCCGACAGAACAAGACCGTCGAGTCGAGTCCAGAGTGACAGAGTAAAAGGTTGTAGGTAACCGGGAGAGTGAGGGGTGAGGTAACAGCGTTCGTAGGAGTCACAGTGAGCGAGCACGTAGACTCAGTAAGAAGTCATACAGCGATACTTCAATATCAAAGATTGTATATGTATATTGTGCTACTCACCCGTATTCCTGGAACTACTAACCTGCTTTGAGATAGCTAGCTAGCTAGCTAGCTAGCTAGATAGATAGATAGATAGATAGATAGATAGATAGATAGATAGATACGAACAGAATGAGAGAGACAGAGTTGAAGGAGATGAATAGGAATACATACATAGGAAATGAAGGGACAAACGAATGATACGAGGATGGATTAGTAAATATTTAATTAGCTAAATGCGAAAGTCATTTCCTGTAAGTACGCTCCTTAATTACATCTCACCTAGTCTGACATAGTCGCTTATAATGATTGCCGGTTTTTGTACACAATATGTGTACAAAACAAATTCGCTTCTTACCAAAATTCTGTTTGTTGTGTTTTCATCTCTCACATAATTCTATTGGCAATCCAAAGACGTAAGCAATTGGATATCAACTGTATGAAGACCCAGTCGGAATGCTGCCTGAATGCAGTAATGTCAGGCAGAAAGTTAAGAATCACTGAAATTCCCTTAAATTACATTTATACAAACCCTCACGAAACAGTAAATAAGATCAGTTTGCGAACATAAACATTATAGAGACAGGTGTCCTCATGTGTACATTTAAATGTAGATTTTTCTTTAAACTTTGTTAACTCTGACACAAGATGTGGTAACAAAAAATACAAAAAGAAAGATGCGGTTGCATTACAAAAATCTTCTATACTAGAGAGCCTGCAAACCATTTGAAAATGAAGATTAAAATTATATGGACCCTTTAAAAAAGCTGGCCATGGTCAAAAATTGTCGTTCTTTAAAGATAAATTGTCGTTCTTTAAGTATAGCATGAAAATATGAAGTGAACAGATTACTTAAATTTAACGGCTGAGGTATGAGTCAGCTATGAATAATTCTTCGAATTAGATCAGAAAAAAGTTTAAAAAAAACATAAGCAATTAAGATATTTCTAATTTTTCCGTATCATAAGAATATTTTCTGCTCATTTATAAATACCACATATACACCTCCCAAAAACTTGATGAGCACTTCGGAGTGGTGTCAACAGTTAGTAGGCTTGTCGCTCGGTCAATTACTAACAAGTAGTGGGGCACCTCGACGTGGTGTAATGGTTAGAAAATTTGTCTTGCTAGATCAATTGCGACTGGGTAGTGAGTTCGATCCTCACTGGGTCCCCATACTTTCGGCCTTGTGCCACATCTAAGCTAGCTTAGAAAATCATTTAAGCGCGCAAATTACTCATTCTGAGTAATTTCACGTCTACTTATCATCTCTCAGTTGCGTCTTTGGGAAGCGTGCACTCAAGGGAGACTCCGTCAAAGGGCAGTGTCGCAACTGAAAGAATTATACTTAGAGGTGCCGGCGCTCGGGAACAGCTGCCCGATGCAGTGCCTTCTCATTGCACTAGAGAGAAGGATCAATGCACACACCGAGGCCAGAGCAACCGACGGCTCAGGGAATTTTTGTTCCTTGCCCGGGTGTACGCGCTCGGGCTCCCCACATTAAACCGACCTTGAGTTACAACCTGACCTCGTGGGGGTTTGAGTAAATATAAATTACTACCAAGTAGTGAGTTCTAATCCTCACTGTGCGCTCAATGCTTTCGGCCTTGTGCCAAAAGTAAGCTACGCTTACTATAATTGCCAAGAACCTAGATGACATGCGTCTGGCAGCTGATTCCTTTAAGCTAACACTCACAACTCAATAGGGAAAAGACCCGCAAAAACCAAGGTCGGAAAGGTCCGTCATCATCGAGCAGATCCTATATTTATTTTTCCAGTTATGATAAACGCTTGTACTCTCCATGAGGGTTTCCGCTTCGAATTTCGCTTGGGACTCAAGTTCCCCGCTGACCTCAGGTGGACCTTTTATATACGATCCAACACTCAAGATGCTGAGAAAATGGCCGATTCCTTGTAGCTCTCCAGAACGTACCTGAATCGTTCTGCTACCGTCTATATTTCAAAAATTCAGTTGGTTGATCTTATTTAGCCTAGTATTAATACTAGGCTAAATAAGATCAACCAACTATTTCTATGGGTTTAAATAACCCATAGAAATTAATACTAGGCTAAATAAGATCAACCAACTGAAAAAAGATTTTGTAGGCAAATTTATTTTATTTTTTGAGATAATAATGATAAAAGTGATTTTTAGTGATAAAAGTCACCCATAGCTGGGGAGATAAGAAGTGGATTCATGCCTTTCCATAGGTTATTTGAGCGTAAGTAAATATAACAACCCGACTGGAATTGGAACTCGGCTCTCTGATTAACAATTCCGAGGCATTATCCTTTACACCCACACAGCCAAGCTTACAGTACTTGGTATTGTCAAACGGTCACAATCTTGGTACTGATCAGACTCGACGTTGCTTAACTTCGGTGATCGTACGGAACCCGGTGTTTTAAGCTTTATATTTAAAAGAGATCAGATCAAAAATGGAGTATTGTTGACATGTCAGCGCTACAGTTGCACAATCCGCTGACTGACTTTAAAAGCGTTTGCAAAGGCCTTGTGGAAGGTGCTTTTTCCCCGCAATCAACAACCCCTTTGCCACAGAGCAAACGTTGTACTTTCTCGCTAACGTATCATTATTTTCATGGGGCCCAAGATTTGGAACCATAGAAGAGAGGTGTAATTACGCTTGGTTTTCAAGGAACATTTTCTGGCCATTTCACAATCCTAGCTACGTAAATTTCACCCGTGGTACATCTGCCTTCAGAAATGTTCATACTAGGAAGAACTTTCAATAAACCGGGATATTTTTTATACTCGTAGCGCATAACTAATAGATATCTTTTGGTGTGCAGTCATTCTAAAAGTATTTTAGATCATTTATTTAATAGCCGTTTGTTGATTGGGAACATAATAATTGCTAGCTTCTTTGGGTTTTTGTAATGGGGTTATTGAAATAATAAATAAAACGGCATCTTACAAAATATAAGGGTTTATTTTAAGCAAGAACAATGCAAGTAGATATTTCCAAGTTCGTCTGAAATGGGAAAACACACCTGGATTTAGGCAAGATGTAACAGAAGACCGATTTTTCCGTGGGGCGATTGGAGCCCATAGGTTCGGGCAAAATTTCCCCGTAGACACCGCATACACGGGGTTGGGTTTGTCTACCTTCCCAGACGAAAGCTTCGTCTGGGTTCCCCTCTGCCCGAACGGATGTAGTTGATGCTTACTGAAAAGCAAGCTCCCGCTGAGACCAACACCATAGATGCTTACATTCCTACTGAAACAGTCAATTTAATAGAGGTGTATCCGTTCTTTGTATACCTAGGGTTATTAGTTCGATCCCTACAACGCTGGCAAAATGTTCGTTCTTCCCGCAACATCTACCAAGGAAATAGGACCGAATACAAAAACCAAAATCTCGAATTGATCTGGAATTGAAATGAAAGCAGTGATGACATGTAACCGGAATCTATCGTAAAAAAATCAGAATAAATAAACGCTAATGACTTCAAGTACATCGGCGTATGGATCAATTATAACAAGTTTATAATAGAATTAAAGGAAATTAAATGGAGAATAGGCTGCGCTAGACGTAATTCGCCCAATACTCCTTAAAAGAATCTCATCAAATCGAGACTTACTTATATGGATGTCATGAATGACACCAAGCTCATTCAGAACTATTTAAAATGGCAACTTTATACAATTGTTTTCTAAAATCAATAATTAAAATGGCTTTGAAGGAATAAAGCATTGAGTGCCTTGGACTTCATTGGACATTGGAAACTGGCTCTACAGAAACACAAAGACCTGTGCCAAATAACAAACACCACAGCAGTTGAAGACTACCAAGAACAGCAACAACTAAAATAAATAGCATATGAACTTGAAGAGAAAATAAAGACATAATCGAAATTTTAACATTACACACTGCCTCAAACAAGAGGTTGAGATGGAGACCTCCGCCAGTACTGGAAAGAGCAATAACGCTACTGGATTTAAGAAACCTATTTTCTTGAAACGTTTATTTTAAGAGGAAGATTTTAAGAATTTCAATCAAAAGCAGTAATGACTACTTGATCAAGGAATATCAAATGTTTCCTTATAGGGAAACGGCTAATAAACGGCTAGGTATATAAAAATGGAAAGGTACTGTTAATAATAATTATTAACAGTACCTTTCCATTTTTATATCCCTTGTGCTTTTATTTTTATCCCTGTTACTTTTAAATATCCACATTGTTAGTTCTAACATTACGTCATAATTGTTACGTCACCCGAATATCCATACTTTTTCCTTCGTTGGCCGTCATTATATATTTTTAATGACGTTACGAGAAGTCAAAATATATGAAGATGCCAAAATCAAGCAACTACGAAAATCTTAATATCTGTGGAGTTTTTTTTTTAACAGTAAACGGAAAATGTAATACTGATATGTCCCGGAAAGGGATATATTTGTTCGAAGCAGCAAAGTGGTTGTTGACTACTGTAACCAGGTAGGACAATCTAGCAGGTAACCATAATGGACTGGTCCTCGTTGTAGTAGTAGGCAATAGGCGAAGACAATAGACGTAGCCAATAGGCGTCGTCCATGTACCTCCACATCAGTCTGTATTTATGGCTGACACCAGCCAATCATATTACTGTGAGAGGGAACCCAGGTGTATGAATATTCATTACATCAAATACAAAAATCCGAAAGTGTATTGATATTGCAAAAGTTACTTTACAAAACACTAAGTACAATTTTAAGAAACAGGGTGCTTAACTGTCGAGTAATATAAGCCTCCACCCTGCATTGAAGCGAATGATAAACATTTTCCTCAGATGAAGAAGAACACGTTAGGAAAATATTTGGAACTCAGTTGACCTCTTGTACTCCACTCGCCACATTCACTGACGTGGCCCCAATAGATTAAATGTTTGATAAGGACTTAAATGAAAAACCAGATTAAACAGTTCGTCGAAATCATGCCCAAAATATATTGACGAGCAACCTAATACGTGGCGACAACACATTGTACATAATGTTGAATATATAATTGGATAATACGTAATTATAATTTATTTTTTTGAGAGAATAAAATAAATAAACGTCAACGGAAATTAGTTTTGGCTGAACCTATTATTTGTGTTAAGTCCTTTATAATAATCAAAATCAAAAAGTATAAGAACTAGATTTTATCGAAGTTATGCGAGTGGAATCTTTTCTCTGGTCTGATTACTCAGATCAAAATGAAAATGTAATAATCTGTCAGATATATCTCGGGTCAATTCTTCAAGGAAAACCATTAACTTACTATCGCATTACGACTTAAGACACTTTGAGTTTCGGACAAAAATAAATAAATTCAGGAAAACTGATTATAAATCGATTAACAGAATCAATAAAGACGCTGTGTTCTGAATGGACACAAAACGCCTTGCAAACAAAAAGTTTGCTTATCGTTCGATTCACACACCTCCCTGATCTTTTTAACAGGAGAATAGGTTTATATCTTGTTTCCTGTTTTATGATTTGGTTTCCGGTTCCTTCTAAAGTCTTTTTTTTCTTTTTTTTCTATCCCGATAGTCCCTTGTGTATCAGTGGCATTATTCGCCTTGCTTGGAGTTAATTGATTATTCCCCGACAAACAAAAAACACATTTCTTGCATATGTTAATGGCCAACGTGTAAGACACTGAGAGGAATTCAGGTAGTTGGTTGAGGTTTATAGCGAAACTTATCATCTTTATTTTGGTTGTTTAAAAAAGGATAAATAGTTTAAGAAAAAAAGTTTAGCTGTTGATTCAAAAGTCACTTAAGGAATTCGTAGGAAGCACGGACCTTTCATCAGAATATAGTTTCTCGTATTTTCACGTTCACTCAATCTTCGTGACTGAGAACAACGAGACAACATTTTTTTTAAAACTTACTAGCCGAGTAAATTTCAGAAATTATTGAAAAAGATTACTTAGTCGCTTTAGTATCATACTATTATAAATCATGGGTTTTTTTTCTAGAAAGAGGAACTTTAGCTCAGGGTTACATTTTTAATTCAAGCAGTGTTCACTTTCAACAGTGAGAATGCATATAGTGATTATATAAAAAATTCTTGAAAATTTACATCTTACAGGTTTTGCTGAAGAACCAATTTCATCAGAAAAACAATATCAGTCCACAAAATCGCCATTAGCGAAACAAAGTGAAATTCCCGTTAAGCAAATAGACGGTTCATTTTATCAGCATTGTTATACAAATTAGATTTGCTTGAATTTCTGTTTTTCTTCTTCATTTAAATCTATTTAGTTAGTTTTATGTGTCCCATGACTCTCCCCGGTAAGGTCGAAGAGATCGGTCTTGTTTTGTTTGCCTTGGTCAGTTTGGTTTTGTAGAGTCTGAGATGGCTAATGATACCGAATTTTGCGTGAAAGATTCTTTGACATTGATGCCAGTTTGTTCCAAATAGCGGATTAGGCTTTGGTTCGTGTTTTTCATCTTGACGTCTTCATTTCCGCTCCAGTTCAGCTCAATGTTTGGATTCGAAAACTATTGTTTCGTCTCTAATAATGGATGTCCGGAGATTCCAAGCTGTTGGTGTTACATTTCTTCATGTTTTGTTGTAGAACATTCTTGATATCTTCATTTGACTTCCGTTTTACAGATTTTCTTCTTTGAGTTGGGAGTCAAAGATTTTCTTTGGTAGCTGGTTGTCATCTATGATGTCAATTCCATCGTATTTGATCTATTCCAGTGTTAAATTAAGGTATCCGATAAACTCTAACAGCCCCCCCCCCCCGGGGCGTATGTGAATCGTTGGGAATTCCTAAGTGATGAAAAGATTTTCAGTGTATATTCGACTAGAATGTAAATCAGATAAGGATCGGAATCCAACAGGATGATAAAATTAAATATGTTAAGCAAAGTGTATACAGTTTTCGTGTATGTTTATTATCACTATTAGTTTTATTTCCTTTGATTTCTGGCGTTTACACATTGCTTTCCTAGGGACCTAAGGTTAGAAATGGCATCATGACACTTTCCACTGACAAAAAAAATTACATAGATAAAGCCCTTCGTAAAGTGTGGTCTGTACTTGTGAGAACAATTTTTTGTATCTCTTTGAGGCATGGACTTCCAGGAATCCCTTCAATTAGTCTACTGAAATCTTTTCCAACCAATCCTAGAGCTCCAACTACAACAGGGATTGTTGATGTTCCCATGTGCCACATTTTTGAGATTTCTGTTTCAAGGTCTTTGTATTTTGACAGCTTTTTGAATATCTTCAAAGATACATTGCAGTCATATCAATAAGAAGGCACTTTTTTGTTTGTGGTCTCTAATAACAATGTCTGGTCTGTTGGCTTTGATTGTTCTGTCAGTGTGTATTGCGTAGTCCCATAGAATTGTAACAGGTCCTATCTCTGTAACCGGGTCTGGCTGGTGTTCATACCAGTTTCTTTCAG